CCAGTTACCACTACTGTGCATGTGTGTCAAGGACAGAAAGGCAGATGTGGCAGTGGAAGGTGTCAAAACAGTTTGGAGAGAAAAACAAAGTAAAGAACAAAAAAAAAAAGAAAACGATTAATCGATAATTAAATTAGTAATCAATTATTATAATAATCGATTAGTCGTCGATTAATCGTTGCAGCCCTACACCCATGCATTCAAATCAAGTGTGTTGGATCACAGGCCTACAACATATGGAAAGTTCTACACACAGTGAACAGACTCACTGCAATGTCATTTTCTTGAGCAAAAACAGCTGTAATAATGTAGAAYCAGAACAAAATAACAGACAGTTTTGTGAAATATGTTTTCTTGCACAATAATGAAACGTGTCTTTTCAACCAGCATCTGCCTCAAATAGTCACGTTTGTTTTTCTGCTGCCTAAACTGTAGTGGTTTAAATGCGGAACAAGGTTCTCAAACTCACAATAATCCCTGAAGAGAGTTAGTTTTATGTATTGAACCTGAACTCAGACTCGCTCACTGAACTCATCAATCATATTTCATTTGTTGTTCAGCCATTGCTACTGATAAAAGTTTTAAAATATCCTTGTTGAGAGGACTACATTTATGATTTCATCAGGATTCACAAACAGTATTTGATCAAAAATGTATCAATTTCTAAAGTATTTTATTTGTTTATTATTTATAAGTTAATGGCAGGTAGTGAGATTGTTATGTTTCAGTCTGTTTGTTTTATTTCCAAGCCTGCTCTTTGAGACTGCAATCAGCCCATTCAGCCCACCTGTGCTCTGCTCGATTTAAGCTCCCTCCCGCCACAGACACCTTGCCAGATTATCCAGAGCAGTTCCTGTGTGTAGATGTCCAGCATTATTTCCTTGCCTACCACTGATTCCCAGTTTTTGACCTCACGCTTGTCTCTGGATTTGGTCTTTTTGCCTTATCCCTGTCGGACTCCACACCTCTCTRGGCTAACTGGACATGGACCACAGATCAGCCTGCCCCACGTCTGTCCTCTTGACCAACTGCTCTCTGTGTTACTGACCCTGGACTGCCTTTTAACCCCGTTTTTGCTTACCAGTCCAGATTTGTCCTGATGCATCTCAGTAATCCAGGTAAAAAGTCAAAAAGAAAACAATTGTATAGGTCTTCTGGACGGGTTCTTCTCTAATGAAACGTTTCGTCTCTCCTCCAAGAGACTTCAAG